CTCAAGACGGCACTGTATGGCGAATGTCTATCCTAAGAGGCACAGCGACATATGCGGTACGTAGAAAAAGAAAACACTGAACAGCGAGTACAAGCTAGAAAGACACTATAGCAAGCCCTTTATCTACAGACACTGTTGCTTGTCGTCATTACCCTGGATCCTTCCGGGCCCTGTGTTGGGTTATAAGTCCCCCCCCCCCCCCCCCCGGACTTAGTCAGCTATAGCTTCTTAACGAATGACAGAAAAAGTTGTCTAAAGGGAATAACAACATCCGCATCTCGTCTAGCACATCACAGTTCCTTATCTCCTCTGCCACATCACAGTCTCTCATCTCCTCTACCACATCACATTTCCCTCATCTCCTCTACCACACCACAGTCCCTCATCTCTACCACATCACAGTTCCTTATCTCCTCTACCACATCACAGTCCCTCATCTCCTCTACCACATCACAGTTCCCTCATCTCCTCTACCACACCACAGTCCCTCATCTCTACCACATCACAGTTACTTATCTCCTCTACCACATCACAGTCCCTCATCTCCTCTACCACATCACAGTTCCCTCATCTCCTCTACCACACCACAGTCCCTCATCTCTGCCACATCATAGTCTCTCATCTCCTCTACCACATCACAGTCTCTCATCTCCTCTACCACACCACATTCCCTCATCTCTACTACACCACAGTTCCTAGAATTGTGGCAGTTCAATAATATATTTTAGATAGTTGGTTCCATTTGGCGGCAACCTTTTTTTCTGGGCTGTTTCTCTTTACTGGACTTTGTCATGATGCCAACCATTAGATAGATATGCATGCCTAATTTTGACTTTCTTTCTGAACCTGTTAGTGCCCCATTGTGTCGGGGGGGTGGGGGGGAGTGGGGGTGGGTCGGGATGGGGGTCGGGGTCGGACAAGTATAGACCCACTACCTCCCCAACAAGCATGTCGTAGTAGTCGACTGACTTCGTTAATCTTTCGAAGTTGGAGCGCATCTGCTTAAGACGCCAGGAACCAAGGATCTGCACACAAATAAGCCAGATCTGTTAGAAGATGTGCACTCAACACCCAGATTCTGTAACAATACTAAGATCCAGAGTTGGACGAACAAACAGAACTTTTAGCTGTAGTTCACAGCCGGGGAACGCGAAGAAGAAGGAGATGTTTGACTTCTACAAGTGGTGTTTCTTTCTTGATTGGTTGTTCTGGAGTGGATATGGTAATCTGTGATGAGTCTCTTTTCCTTTTTGAGAGCTTGACAAACTGTACAAAGATGTCAGCCACACCAGACAACTGTACACAAATGTCAAGTCACAACAGACAACTGTACACGGATGACAGTCACAACAGACGACTGTACAAAGATGTCAGCCACTCCAGACAACTGTACACAAATGCCAGTCACAACAGACAACTGTAGACGGATGTGAGTCACAACAGACAACTGTACAATGATGTCAGTCACACCAGACAACTGTACACAAATGTCAGTCACAACCGACAACTGTATACGGATGACAGTCATAACAGACGGATGGCAGTCACAACTGACAACTGTACACGGATGGCAGTCACAACAGACAATTGTACACGAATGCCAGTCACAACAGACAATTGTACACGAATGCCAGTCACAACAGACAATTGTACACGAATGCCAGTCACAACAGACAATTGTACACGAATGCCAGTCACAACAGACAATTGTACACGAATGCTAGTCACAACAGACAATAGTACACGAATGCCAGTGACAAAAAGATTGTGAACTAAATGTATGACAGTTCCTAGGAAGTGTTTCCGTTCATGATTTGCATTATAACTCTATGTCCGTCATAGTGGCGATAGCGACTAGAAGCCCGCATGCGGATCAGAAGATCGTGGGTTCATATCCTGTCAGCACTCACCACATCAATCTGACAGAGCTGCTATGTTTTCATGTAAGTTAAAGCTAAAAATCCAGCTTATTACAAGATCAAATGCTCTTAATATTAAAGTGGCTCCAAACCTGCCCCTCCAGACCCAACCCCATCCACTGTGCACGTTTACCACGCTGAAGACTAGTGATCCAACCAGTCTGATTTCTCACAGCTTGGAGACCACTGATCCAATCAATCTGATTTATGTTGACATCCCCAGGGCTGACCAAGTCTAGATTACATTGGAGTTTTGACACCCGACAATGTGTAACAAACGACAAGCTAATTTTCTTTCCAAAACTGGATGCTGTCTTTTCTTCCTGAATGCTTTGTCCCCGCACCATAATCCTCTTATATTTTGTTTTATTCTGTTTTGTTCGGATAGCCTAGTGGCTTATTATATTTGACACTCTACAGCAACAATCGGAAACAAGATTTTGCAGTCTTAAAAAGAAGACACTGAAAATATCACCGCCAATCATATACACCTACGCTGTAATAAACCTTGTCTTGCTAGCCACTGTCGACACTGTAGAACAGTGTTTGGATTCTCTATAGGGGTTCACACTTTTTGTGTGCCTGGAGCAACAGTGCCAGTCCTAGTCCTGTGCGTGGAGCAACAGTCCCAGTCCTTGACCTGTGCGTGGAGCAACTGTGCCAGTCCTTGTCCTGTGCGTGGAGCAACAGTGCCAGTCCTAGTCCTGTGCGTGGAGCAACAGTGCCAGTCCTTGTCCTGTGAGTGTTGCAACAGTGCCAGTCCTAGTCATGTGCGTGGAACAACAGTGTCAGTCCTAGTCCTGTGCGTGGAACAACAGTGCCAGTCCTAGTCCTGTGAGTGTAGCAACAGTGCCAGTCCTTGTCCTGTGCGTGGAGCAACAGTGCCAGTCCTAGTCCTGTGAGTGTAGCAACAGTGCCAGTCCTTGTCCTGTGCGTGGAACAACAGTGCCAGTCCTTGACCTGTGCGTGGAGCAACAGTGCCAGTCCTAGTCATGTGAGTGTAGCAACAGTGCCAGTCCTGGTCCTGTGAGTGTAGCAACAGTGCCAGTCCTAGTCCTGTGCGTGGAACAACAGTGCCAGTCCTAGTCCTGTGAGTGTAGCAACAGTGCCAATCCTGGTCCTGTGAGTGTAGCAACAGTGCCAGTCCTGGTCCTGTGATTGTAGCAACAGTACCAGTCCTAGTCCTGTGAGTGTAACAACAGTGCCAGTCCTGGTCCTGTGAGTGTAGCAACAGTGCCAGTCCTAGTCCTGTGAGTGTAGCAACAGAGCCAGTCCTGGTCCTATGAGTGTAGCAACAGTGCCAGTCCTGGTCCTGTGGGTATAGCAACAGTGCCAGTCCTGGCCATGTGTGCATGGTGTATGTATGCGGCAACAGTACCAGTCCTATTCTGGTGTATGTGTGCAGCAACAGTGCCAGTACTAGTCCGGTGTGTGTGTGCAGCAGCAGTGCCAGTCCTTGTCCGGTGTGTGTGTGTGTGTAGCAACAGTGCCAGTCCTAGTCTTATGTGTGTAGCAACAGTGCCAGTCCTAGTCTGGTGTGTGTGTGTGTGTATGTGTGCAACAACAGTGCCAGTCCTTGTCTGGTGTGTGTGTAGCAACAGTGCCAGTCCTAGTCCTATGTGTGTAGCAACAGTGCCAGTCCTAGTCTGATGTGTGTGTGTATGTGTGCAACAACAGTGTCAGTCCTTGTCCGGTGTGTGTGTGTGCAGCAACAGTGCCAGTCCTAGTCCTCTGTGTGTAGCAACAGTGCCAGTCCTTGTCAGGTGTGTGCAGCAACAGTGCCAGTCCTTGTCCGGTGTGTGCAGCAACAGTGCCAGTCCTTGTCAGGTGTGTGCAGCAACAGTGCCAGTCCTTGTCAGGTGTGTGTGTATGTGTGCAACAACAGTGCCAGTCCTTGTCCGGTGTGTGTGTGTGTGTGTGCAGCAACAGTGCCAGTCCTAGTCATATGTGTGTAGCAACAGTGCCAGTTCTAGTCATATGTGTGCAGCAACAGTGCCAGTCCTAGTCCTATGTGTGCAGCAACAGGGCCAGTCCTTGTCAGGTGTTTGTAGCAGCAGTGTTAGTCCTAGCACCGGGTCTGTTGTGCTAGCAAATGTCAGTTTAACTCGTTGTATAGGACTGTCGATGTCAACTGATTTCCTTCATGATCGTTTTTGTGGTTGGTGACACCTGGTTACACAACTTCAGTAGGTTGTGTGCTGTCAGATGTATATTTAGTGGGTTGTGTCAAATCTCAGATGGATTGAGTATGCTGGGTACAACCACAGTAACACTCAAGTGGTTGTTTACATTCATACATACACTCAGTGGACTGTGTACCCTCACAGATACCCTCAACAGATTGGGTACAATCATATCTACACTCAAGGGGCTGTGTATACTCACAAAAGTCACACATATGTTCAGTGGGCTGTCGACGCTCACAAATACCTTCAAATCTTGACCAGAATCACAAACTTAAAGTTAAAACAGGAAGCTAGGCAAGAGAAGCCACATGAAGCCACAGAAGAATGCACTTGCACAGAACTGCTGACATTAGCCTTTACAAACTGAGGGATTTTGAGAGGAAGGGATTTGACCATGTATGGGCCGATCTGTTGAATGTACATTGACGTTGATTTGTTCACTGATTGATTAACTAACTACAATGTTCTGGTTGTTCATCCACTTCTGGACTTTGGTCTCATCCAAAAACTTGAATTTTGTGTGCACATCCGTTTTACAGATCCGGCTTATTGTAAACAGTGCACCAGACTGTTGGTTCCACACCTCTCATGTAGATGCACCCCGACTTCGAAGAAAACAACCCTAGTATTGGTCTTTTACAACATGCTTGTTGGTTTTTTGGGGGTGGCATAGTAAGTCTATCCCCCCCCCCCCCGCCCTTAAAAAATGGGACCATGGAACCCCCACCAGAAATAAGTAACTCAACACACACAAACAAATCAGTTTACCAGATATTTTATTGGGAATTCAAGCACACACAAAAGTAATCGAATGAAAAAAAAAACCATGACATAAATAGAAATAAAATATCAACAATCGCATGACCATGATCACCAGCTGACGAACTTGTCCTCTCTATGAAATGGTGACGGGGATTTTCCCGTTCTTGGTGTAACTCTTGATGTGGGCAATGCCGGGTCTTTGGTTGCCGCCCTCGTTTACCAGATCCCAGCTCCAGGCGCCAGCGTAGCCGTGGTTGTAGATGTAGTCAAAGAGTTGGTTGATGTTCATACCGCCTCCCTGTTTCTCCCAGAACTCCCCGATCACGATAGGTTTGTCCGTTTTGTAGTCGGCATACGAGTGCTGTTGGGGAGACAGTCAATGTTGAACGTTACTAGCACACTTTTGTGGACACAGGAACCGATGCTTTGCTGAACAACAACAACAATAACAACAAGATAGTCACGTTCAACCAGCATCCCAGAAAGGGGAACTTTAGGTTATAATTGTGACTAGGTTATTAATGCCGTATAAAATGTTTCAGCATTGCTCGCCATAAAGAGTCCTGAAAAGGACTCCAGCAGCGTTGATGTGATCAAAGAAGACAGACATACATACTGTCACGACCGGTGACAAAGTCGTCTATCAGCCATCCAATTGGCGACCCGGTCGCCGATGAGGCGCAGAAACTAAGACATTCACCGTTAGTTATAACTGCCACACACATAAATCAAGAGGAGATACCGTGATGAAGCGACTAGGCCCTCTACTGCAGATTTGGAGGTCGTGGATTCAAGTACAAACGGAGCCAAACTTTTTTTTCTTTCAAAATTGACCTTGCCACGAAGGCCGTTCCAGCTTAAAGTAAAGAACAGGTGAAATCATGGGCAGTAAAAGCAGCCGGCGTTATGTTGACTACATCAGCGACGAGTGCTGATAGATTTATATAGTATAGGTCAAGTCCTGAATGCCCAATACGCTTGCAAGTGTTTAAAAGCGCTTTTTTGCATAGCAAAGACACACACACACACACACACACTAAATGATCATCATCCTTTGTATGTCGTTTGACGTCACATAGAGCTCGAATTCGATTCCTTAACTCCCTTCTACTGAAGGCAACTGTCGATTTCTGACACAGCATTCAGCCCTGCATTTTAGCTTCTTGTAATAATGTTATTCTTTTTAATGATTCCATGGATGTCCTTTTTTTTTCCTGGCTCGTATATTTCCCATTTCGGTGCTTATTTTGTAATTCTTTGCTCATTTTGTCTCAGAATGTGATCAATATATCTGCACCTTTTTTGTCTTATTGCAGTCGATATAGAGATTTGGAAAAACATTTCTTTGATCTCCTTTTCCATTTTTTTAAAAGATATATTGTATGTCCATGATTTTTCTTAAACATTTACTTTCAAAATGCATTTAACTTTCTTTCTATATCTCTAGTAGTTATCTAACTTTCGCAGGCATAGTTAGAATATAACACAAACACACAAACCACTCACACACACACACACAACTTTAAATTGCCTGACGTCCCTTTGGATAGCAGAAGAGAACTCTGTTCTCCAGTTTTCGGCTCCATCTTTGTCTCCACCGCTGCCGTATGTTTAGTCATTGCCTCTAACTGCACCTGAGGCTTTTACCGCCCATTCACCCGCCACCCGTTCAACTGTTCAAGCCCCCTAAAGGACAGTAGTGCCCACTATAAAAATGAACTTCTACCACCCCACATCTCCACCAAACCACGACTGTGACTCAGGGGTACAAGTCAGACTGTCGGCATCTCCCCCCCCCCCCTTTCCGCCCCACCCAAAAAATTGACCGTTGGGTTGGCAGCACCCACTGTTTGAAACACTGATCTAACCAGTTCTGCGTAAGTTAGTTCTGAGGTAGATTTGTCTCCAGTTGTAAGTGGCTGGTGTCTGTCACAGACATCATCACTAATTGTATTTTAGATAATAATTTATGTTGACCCACCGCACTAAAAGTGTGACCTACCAAGTTACCGACACCTAAACTGTGCCAACACTCCATTGAAAAAGACCTATATACCCTATCGGAGCTCCCCTTTAGTCATATTTAGTTGCAGTCACCATTTTTTTTTTTTTTTTTTTTTTGTTAAATCAGTTGAAAGTGCTCAGAACAGTGAAACTGAAAATATACAATTAAAAATACTGTAAACACATTTCAGCGAGGGTCTGAACCAAGGACCTTCTGAGTGTTAGGTGGATGTGACAGCTAATTCAAGTGATTACAATATGAGATACTGACATTAGTATTTAACAATGTGGCAGACACATGTATTGTCTGTTATATAGGCGGAAAGCTCTGTTTGTTCGTTCACCTCTGGACTTTGGTGTTGTTATAGAACTTGAACTTTGCGTGCACATCTGTTTAACCTTACGCGCTTATGTGTACGCAAACCCCTGTTTCCTTGCTTCTTAGTTAAAAGAAAATGATCGATTCTAAATTTCAAGGAAGCTAACCTCCATAATCAGTTGTGTTTCTAATACACTTGTTGTAAATGCTCAAGAGATATAATTCCAGCGAATGTTAACTTTAAATGATTGTGGCGTTAACTAAAGGAAATGAGCAGAAACATTGCTGCAAATAGCACTGTTAAACTTGACATTGCTGCCAGAATAGCATTTCCAAATGTTACCCTTCTTATATTCACAGTTTGGAAGGAGTTGCTGAATATTTTGTTCGATTATTCATACACACAAACACACACACACACACATACACACACACACATAGTGCATGAAAGAGGCGTGAGAGGAAGTGTACATGCAAGAAAGAGAGAGAGAGAGAGAGAGAGAGAGAGAGAGAGAGAGAGAGAGGACAAACAAACAAACACACACACACACATACTTACAGGACATACAAACCTACATAGATATAGAAAGTGGTTAGGAAAATGTGGAGAGCGTAGAGTTTATGACAAATGACATAGTCCGATAGGGATTGTTTTAGAGAAAGAAAGAGAGCAATTGGGGGGGGGGGCATACACACACACACACACACACACACATAAATATATATATATATAGTGGTCTGGACAATGGGCAGGGCGTAGAGCATATGAGAAATGATAGAGTCCGAGAGGGATTGTTTGAAAGAGAGAGAGAGAGAAAGAGAAATCGTAAAAGAGGAAGAGTGGGGTTGGGGGGGGGGGGGGGAGACTGAAATGGGGAGGCGGGTGAGGTACAGAGCGATTGCTACAAAGCGCGGACGTTGAGGTTAACAGCCAGCTGACCTTAAAGGGAGCCACGTCATCAAAGTTGCCCTGCCAGTCGTAGGAGTGGAACTGCCAGAAGTCCAGCTTTCCCTGAGAAATGTGTGGTTAATTAGATATTATCACGTGTCTCCACATGTCTACATACATGTGCATGCACCAACACAATGTGCGAATAAATCAACACACACACGCACATACACACGCACACACACGTGTACATGTACACTAGCACTTTGTATAAATATGTCAACATATATACAACGTTTGGAGTTGCTGTGAGACGTTCGCCTGCCGATTGGAAAGATAGGGGTTCGTGTCCTGATGGAGCCCGACTTTTTTTTTTTTTTTTGTGTTTGTCTTGAAAATCACATTGGCTTTCAGGTCGCCCAGGTTTGAGTGGGTACCAGTTGTAGTCCCGTGAAGTAAAGGCGGCCGGCGTGATACTGAAAACAACACCCACCAATTGCCGGTCTACACAATATCGGTCTAGCACCATATGCCCAGTAGGCCTAAAGACGTGGAAAAGGGTCCTTTTAAATATAAAGTTAATTGCCTACCATTGTTAGAACATTGCAGAACCCATCATTTTTTAGCTATTGTGGTTTTTCTAGGCACATTGTTCGTCCAGTAGTTTGCCATTGCTCACTGAACGATCAGCTCTCGGTGCCGCTGTCGAAACCAACGTTATGCTACACAATCGCCTGTGGCTGGGATCGAACCTATCACCCAAGTATTACGAAGCGAAATAGCAACGCCTAAGCCACAGACGCCGCCAACACACACACACACACACACATACACACCCACACCCACCCACACACATCTACACCCCCACACACACCCCCACAAAAACATGCACACACACGTACACACGCACACGTGCATGCACACACACACACACGACACACACACACACGAAAGACACACAGGACCACATCACCACACGCCCACATACGCCCCGACACATACACACACATACACACACACACACTATAGTACCCAAGTATAGGTAACTACTCAATCAGTTCCTGACATTGTACGTATCCCAAAAAGTACTTATACCAAACGAATTTTCCCTTTGGTGAAAAAAAAAAAAAAAAAGAATAATGAATAATCCATTTCCATGAATACAAAACTCATTGTGTTTGACATAGTATACATTGATGGGCTTATATATGTTGATATGTTAATTTATGACTCTATTGTAGTGTTGCTACATTGTTATGTGTCCACGTTAATGTATTGTAATACCACTATACTATAATGATGTTGTTACCCTATAGTGTTGCTAATTTATTATGTAATCATTTTTATATGTTGTAGTTTGGCTAATCTATTATGCAGTCATGGTAATACATTGTAGTGGTGCTAATTTATTATGTAACAATTTTGATATGTTGCAGTGTTGCTAATTTATTATGTAATCATTTTTATATGTTGTAGTTTGGCTAATCTATTATGCAGTCACGGTAATACATTGAAGTGGTGCTAATTTATTATGTAACAATGTTGATATGTCGTAGTGTTGCTAATTTATTATGTCACAATGTAGATACCCTGTAGTGTTGCTAATTTGTTATGTCACAATGTAGATACCCTGTAGTGTTGCTAATTTGTTATGTCACAATGTAGATACCCTGTAGTGTTGCTAATTTGTTATGTCACAATGTAGATACCCTGTAGTGTTGCTAATTTGTTATGTCACAATGTAGATACCCTGTAGTGTTGCTAATTTGTTATGTCACAATGTAGATACCCTGTAGTGTTGCTAATTTATTATGTCACAATGTAGATACCCTGTTGTGTTGCTAATTTATTATGTTACAATGTAGATACCCTGTAGTGTTGCTAATTTGTTATATTTTCATACTGTTATGTTCTTGAACTGCTAGTTTGTTTTGTTGTCCTGCGAACGAACAAACGAACAAACTTTATTTTCAAAGGGTTAAGAATTGGATACATGGGCCCATGTTGCATTCTTCCATTCTGGCCTCACTCCGTGCATACATTATTCCATTCGTTCATCGTCCTACAACGGTGCAAGCATGTCGTGGGATTGACCTGTGACCCCGCACCCAGGAGTTACTCACGTTCGACTTGCCGCCTGCTTTGATCAGGCACTCGTCCGTGTAGTGGTTGATTCTCCCGAACTGATCCGTGTTTGTGATGGGGTTAGCGACACCCACGCTGACCAGAGCTCCGGGGTCTGCAGTCTTGATCGCCGCCGCCTGCCAGTTGATGAATCTAAAGGACGGATAATGGGTGGAGGGAAAGGTATGGGTAAAAGCTTATAGTGGAAGTAATTATGTATTTTGGAATGGACTGAAGGAACCCTATGTGATGTGTAGGCGGCACACGATGTTGATGACGGTGGTGATGATGATGATGATGGTGTGTGGTGATAGTACGTAGTGGTGGTGGTGTGGTGGTGGTAAGTGGTAGTGAGGATGAGGATAAATGATGGTGATGATGATGGTGACGATCATGATTATGATGATGGTGATGGCTGTAGTGGTGATTTTGGTGGTGGTGATGATGATAATGATGGTGGTGGTGATACTGATGATAATGATGATAATGATGGTGATGACGGTGGTGGTGATGATGATGTTGATGTTGGTGGTGGTAATTATGAGGATGATGATGGTAGTGGTGATGGTGATGATGGTGATGATTATGATTATTATGATGATGATGGTAGTATTGGTGATGACAATCATGGTAGTGGTAGTAATGATGATGATGGTGATGATGATGGTGATGGTAGTGATGGTAGTGGTGATAGTGGTGGTGATATTGGTGGTGGTTGTGGTTATGTTGAGGATTATGATTGTGATGATAATGATTATGATGACAATGATGAGGTGATGATGATGATTATAATGATGATGATCGCGATGAGAATAATCATGATGACGAGTATGTCAAGATGATTCTGTTTATAGATAAATTGATATAATGGCGAAGATAAACAAGGCGAGTTGATTGTGTTTATAAATAAACTTGTATTATGGCGCATATAAACAAGGCGAGATGATTGTGTTTATAAATAAACTGGTATGGCGCATATAAACAAGGCGAGATGATTGTGTTAATAAATAAACTGGTATTATGGCGCATATAAACAAGGCGAGATGATTATGTATATAAATAAACTGGTATTATGGCGCATATAAATAAGGCGAGATGATTTGTTTATAAATAAACTAGTATTATGGCGCATATAAACAAGGCGAGATGATTGTGTTTATAAATAAACTGGTATTATGGCGCATATAAACAAGGCGAGATGATAAGAATTTTAAACAATATTATCAATAAATCGCTCTTATTTAATGTCAGAAAGAGGGTGCTAAAATGTTATATAGAACATGTTCTGCTGTTTGGCAGCGAATCTTAGAAAGTCACTGAAAAAAATTTAGAAGAACTAGGAAGCAACAGAGATGTGGTTTTTAAGACGAATGTTACGAATACCTTGGACGGAAAGAGTAACTAACAACGATTGCTTGAAAGAGGCTAATGAAAGTAGATCTCTATATACAACAATAAGAAAGAGACGAACACTGTTCTTTGGCCACATAATAAGATGAGAGACATTGGAGAATATCGTGACAATTGGAAAGATCAGTGGAAAAAGAGGTAGAGGAAGACCAAGAAATGATGCTGGATGGGCTGAAACGATGGCATAGAGGAATATCATCAAGAGAGCTGTTCCAGGCAACCAGGGATCGTGATCTGTGAATGAGCATGAGCGCCTAGGCCAGTTGGCAGGGCACATGATGATGATGATGATGATGATTATCAATGTTGCTGGAAGTTTCAGTATAAACAGTGTGGTTTGTGACTGATTATATTCACAATTAAACTCTATTATGATGCGACTGTGAATATAAATACATTGCATGACTGTGCATGTGCAAGCAGCTAGATAATGAAACAAAGCCCGTAGAGATGCGGATACACACAAGCATAGGTCCTAGTTCATAGAAACAAACCCAGATTAGATGCAGAGGTACTAAGGGGACTGACTGCCAGTGTAAAGAGATCAGTCAATCAATGAGGTGCCGTCTCCACAATAAACACTTGTGTCGTTGCCCACCTCTTAGTCTTTGCCTTTGACTATTACCTAAAGTGTGGTGTTTAAAAACGTGTTATGTCTTTTATAGGGGCATAAGTATTTCAGATGTCTCTTTTTTTTTTATTTCTTTTAGTAATTCTTTGTCGGCTCTGTGGCTAAGTCGATGCGAACGCTTCATAATGCCGAGATGCCGGGTTCGATCCCAGCTGTGGGCCATGCGCCTTTCGTTGGTTTCGATAGTGGTATCAAGGAAGCCGACCGTCCAGGAAGCAATGGCAAACTACTGGACGTAATTTTGCCTATAAAAACCATACAGTAGTCAGGGGCTGTTGGGGTTGGTTTTGCAACGTCCTGTAAAGGAATCGCAACTAACCTTAGTAAATAAATAATTTATTTGATGCCTTTCAAGTAAAGGTAGTTGCTGAGGAAAAAAAAAAGTGACTGTTGAAATATTTCAACCACATTTAGAGACATACGACTCTGCTGGAAGTCATGCTGGAAAAGAGGCGGTAGTGTGGTGAGTGTAGAGAGAAGGCAAACGAGCAAAAGGCGGACAGCGATACAAGAGAGAAGATAATATCAAGAGACGGATAAAGAGCAGTCTGAGAGTGTGTACAACCAGGAAGTGACAGTGTCTTTTGGATATTCACTGCAGTCAACCTGCACTGTGGAGACGGCACCTGAATAATTGATGATTGTGTACATAAACATGATATAATGATTGTATGTAGAAAACTGATGAGATTATTGTGTGCCTGTGTGATATAAATTACCTGATATAATGATTTGTATCATAGACGGTTACCTGACTGATGAGATGACAGCTACCTAAGTGTACATAAACATGATATAATGATTAAATGTAGATAACAGTTCCCTGAGATGACAGTACCTGTCAGTGATAACTTACCTGATACTACAGTTCCCTGAGATGACAGTTACCTAAGATGAGATTACCTGATATTACAGTTCCCCTGACAGCTTGATTTGTACCTGTCATCCCGAGTGACCTCACAATTACCCGACATGACAGTTCCCTGAGATGATAGTTACCTAAGATGAGAGCTACCTGATATTACAGTTCCCTGAGATGACAGCTACCTAAGATAACTGTTACCTGATATTACAGTTCCCTGAGATGACAGCTACCTAAGATAACTGTTACCTGATATTACAGTTCCCTGAGATGACAGTTACCTAAGATGAGAGCTACTGATTTTTACCTGATGACAGCTACCTAAGATAACTGTTACCTGATATTACAGTTCCCTGAGATGATAGTTACCTAAGATAACTGTTACCTGATATTACAGTTCCCTGAGATGATAGTTACCTAAGATAACTGTTACCTGATATTACAGTTCCCTGAGATGATAGTTACCTAAGATAACTGTTACCTGATATTACAGTTCCCTGAGATGACAGCTACCTAAGATTACAGTGTTCCTGTCAGTCAGAGAGACATCAAAGTTACCTAAGAGCGTCCTCGTACTTGTACTTCTGCCCGGCCCAGCCCACACCGCTGTTGGCCAGCACCTTGGTGTCGTAGCACTTCTCGGACACATCCTGACGTGGGAGTATAAACATACATCGTTGGTGGAATTCATGTTAACAGACATACATCATTGTTGGAATTCATGTTAACAGACATACATCATTGTTGGAATTCATGTTAACAGACATACATCATTGTTGTAATTCATGTTAACAGACATACATCATTGTTGGAATTCATGTTAACAGACAGATATCATTGTGGAATTCACTTTCAACAGGTACACGTCATTGTTTGAATTCATTTTTATAGACATTCATCATTGTTGAAATTCATTTTTACAGACACACATCATTGTTAGAATCTCTTTTTGCAGACATACATTTTTGTTTAAATTCATTTTTACAGGCATACATCACTGTTGGAATTCATTTTTATAGCCTCACATCATTGTTGGAATTCATTTTACAGACACACATCATTGTTGGAATTCATTTTACAGACAAACATCAGTGTTAGAATTCCTTTTGCAGACACACATCATTGTTGGAATTCATTTTTCATACACACATCATTTTTGGAATTCATTTTACAGACATACATCATTGTTGGAATTCATTTTACAGACACACATCATTATTAGAATTAATTTTACAGACACACATTATTGTTGAAATTCACTTCTACAGACACAGATTATTGTTTATGTTCACTTTTACAGACACATGTGTTTTTTTTTTTAATTCAATTTTATACACATATATTATTGGTAAAATTCATTTCTATAGACATACATCATTGCTTGAATTCACTTATAAAGACATACAGACATCACTGTTGCAATTTACTTTTATAGACACGCATCATTGTTGCAATTCTTTTTTACACACATACATCATTGCTGCATACTCTTTTACAGTCATACATCATTGCTGAAATTCTCTTTTACAAACACACATCATTGTTGCATTTCACCTTTACAGACACATATTATTGCTGTAATTCGCCTTTTTAAAGCCGCACATGCTTTTTACTGTTCACTTTTACAGACATGTGTCATTGTTGCAATTCATATTACCAGACATACATAATTCTTTTAATATATATTGATACCTATGCATCCTTGTTGGAATTGACTTCAACAGACATACATCATTGTTGGTTTATTCGAGAGCAACAGATAAGCTGGGCTGGTTGCCAACTGATATCAATGTCGTGGCACCAATTGCTACAGAGAGCCACTCTTAAACAAATACAATGGACACAGAGCAAAAGGTAGACCACCCAACACATGGAACGATGACATCAAGAACAGCCTTAACAAAATGAAGCTCAATTTATAGAACGCATAGAAAAAAGCACACAGAAGACACTTAATTTCTACCTTCCAGCTTTTCCCCTCGCTTTTTTTTTTAATATTTTTTTTTAATTCAAAAATTTAGCAGCAAGTTCAGGAATAGAACATCAGTTTTAGTTATAGCTGTAACTATTAGATTTCACAGTTTGTAGATATTTTTAAAAACGTTTAAATAACATTTTCTTTTATTTATTTCTTGAAAAAAAAAAAAAACTGCGTCCCGTATTGGGACGAAGCAGATTGAATCCCCCTGACTGACTGACGTTAAACCGCACCAGGACATCACACCGAGCGACAGACACCCTGTGACACAAAATACCACCATTAGGATTATGATCACCCAAGGACAGGTCACAGAAAACCCGTTTAACCCATAGGTGCGGTTATATTCGGGCGCCAGGCAACAGCCAGGTCGGGTCCTTAAAACAACAACAAAATTTCGTCATAAATTGAGACACTTGGCTTGGCTTGGCTTGGCTTTTTACCCCACCAGGACATCACACAAGCGATAAACACCCGATGACACAAAGTGCCACCATGCGGATGAGGATCACCGTGGAGAGGTCCCAGAAACCGCGTTCAGACATTTGGCCATAATGATGACCTGCCTATATTGCGGCCCCTGGCAAAAGCCAGAGTGGGGCTTCAAATAACAAAAAATAACGTCCTAAGAAGGACGTGTTTCACTGTTTTGTTATCAATTAACTCCCATTTCAATGGCGACCAAAGTATACGACACAAAATTATTGGACTGACTGGTTATCCACTTGTAGGATGCAATTGTTTGTTATTTTGAAGCCCCAACCTGGCTCTTGCCAGGGGCCGCAATATAGCCCGGCCATATATATGGCTGAACGCTGTTTCCGGGACCTATCCAGTAAAAGTTTGCATCTACGATTCTAACCTATACTTTTAAACCCAAGGGAGATAAATAAGCTACTCACTCGGCCTGGAATCAGCATCCCCTCTATTTCATTGATGATGTCCCATCCTCCCAGAGCTGGGTTACCTTTGACCGCCTGCACCAGAGGGGTCAGGGCCTTGTCTAAGTAGGTCTGCAGCTTCTTGGCGTCGGTGACCAGCCCGTTAAGGTGGTTTTGTCCGTCCTGGTTGACGGCACCGTTCCACAGGGTAGGGAAGACGAAGATGTTATACCTGTGATAGAGCATTCAGTTAAGCATATAGGTGTTTGTGTCATAAACAAAAGAAGCAGTCCTCGTCGAGGTAGATGCAAGTTATAAACTTATTCAAACAATTAAACATTGACAGTAAATATACTTTTTAGACATCTTATGAGAAACAAATTGACTTGAGATAACTAGGTAACTACCTGATCAATTGATAGAAGGAAAATAACTTGGTTACTACCTGCACGGTTGATGAAAGGAAGATAGCTCGGTAACTACCTGCACGATTGATGGAAGGAAGATAACTCGGTAAATACAGGCACGATTTATTGAAGAAAGATAACTCAGTAACTACAAGCACGATTGATGGAAGGAAGATAACTCGGTAACTACCTACACGATTTATGGAAGGAAGATAACTTAGTAACTACAAGCACGATTGATGGAAAGAAGATAACTCGTTAACTACCTGCACGATTGATGGAAGAGAGATAACTCGGGAACTACCTGCACAATTGATGGAAGAAAGATAACTCAGTAACTATCTGCACTATTGAATAAAGGAAGATAACTAGGTTACTACCGGCACGATTGATAAAAGGAAGATAACTCGGTAAATACCTACACGGTTGATGGAAGGAAAATAACTTGGTTACTACCTGCACGGTTGATGAAAGGAAGATAACTCGGTAACTACCTGCACGATTGATGGAAGGAAGATAACTCGGTAAATACAGGCACGATTTATGGAAGAAAGATAACTCAGTAACTACAAGCACGATCGATGGAAGGAAGATAACTCGGTAACTACCTGCACAATTGATGGAAGAAAGATAACTCAGTAACTATCTGCACTATTGATGAAAGGAAGATAACTCGGTTACTACCTGCACGATTGGTAAAAGGAAGATAACTCGGTAAATACTTACACGAGGTATGGAAGGAATATAACTCGGTAACATACGATTGATGGAAGGAAGATAACTCGGTTACTACCTGCACGATTGATGAAAGGAAGATAACTCGGTAACTACCTACACGATTTATGGAAGGAAGATAACTTAGTAACTACAAGCACGATTGATGGAAAGAAGATAACTCGGTTACTACCTGCACGATTGATGGAAGGGAGATAACTAAGTAACTACCTACACGATTTATGGAAGGAAGATAACTTAGTAACTAGAAGCACGATTGATGGAAAGAAGATAACTCGTTAACTACCTGCACGATTGATGGAAGGGAGATAATTAAGTAACTACCTACACGATTGATGGAAGGGAGATAACTCGGTAACTACCTACACGATTGATGGAAGAACGATAACTTGGTAGCTACCTGTACAATTGATAGAGGGAAGATAACTCGCTAACTACCTACACGATTGATGAAAGGAAGATAACTTGGTAACTACCTGGACGATTGAGGAAAAGAGAGCAAGATAAAGGCAAAGAGATAAATATCTGAATAGCCTGGCAGCATGAATGAGGGCGAGACACAAACATTGAGCTGATCTGTGATTCTGCTGATCGTTTGTAATGGCAAAATATGACAGCCGACGCTTACCGGGAGTCACATAATAATGATGATGTCACAGTTTGAATCTGTGAAATAAGTCATATTAAATACATGGCAAAAGCAGTCCTGATAGCAAAGCACTCTTGACATGTCACTTACAGGTAAATTCTCAGCCACACTAGAGTATAGAGTTTATCAGGCAGTGTAAGAAAATACAGGGCACTTACCCATGCCTTTAAGCGCATTGGGCATAAATGGCTAGACTTATATTTTATAGACCATTCGGAACTATGTGAGTAATGGGGTCAGCATCACGCCGGGAACCTTTACTTCCTTACACTCTCAATGTCTGGTCGACCTAGGAGCCAAAGTCATTGCCGGGAAAAAACAAGTCCCACTTCGTCAGGGCCTGAACCCAAAACCTCTCGATCCGCAGGCAAGTGTCTAGCGATGGAGGCTACCTATAAGGCAGTGTAGCCGCTGAATTTGCCACAATTATAACTTAGTCTTTTGGGGACAATTTGACAGCAGCAGGAAGTGTGAAGAAGCCAACTATAGGAGAAGTGTCTACCTGTCTGAAAACATCCTGGGATAATGTGACCACTGAGATCTTTGTCAGATCATCCAAGAAATGCCACAGATGGAATTGATGATGAGCAATATGTGAAGACATTGGTTTGTCGTTAGATACAGATAAGGATAAGAAAAAGAACTATATTATGGGTGACAGTTTTGACAGTGATGTGGCAATGTTTTGTGTGTGTGTGTGTGTTTGTGTGTGTGTGATGAATAAAACTGATTTAAGAAATATATATAATCATATTTGTTGTCCCGAATTTCATCTCCCAAAATCATGGTGCTTTTTATAATTGGATCGTCTTATGTTCAGGAAAACACGATATTTTCAATGGCAATCTGACCTTCAATTAGCAACAAGGAGAAAGAGAACAGACTGACAGAGATTCAGCAACTATGAGAAGGAGAAGAGACAATTAGACACATCTTATTTGATTTAAAAAATGTCAATCGTTTAACCATGCGCGACAAACGAAATCCATTAAACAGAAACAAAGAAATGCTTTTAATCTGCCAGTTTTCCTAGAAAATAATGTAAAGTGTCTGGAAATAACAAACTGAAATACCATTCTACTTCACGAAAAGAACGAACTATTTACGTTGGCGATTTGCAGTCACTTGCCAGAAGAGGTAGGAACATCCGATTAACTGATTACTTTTTATTATGTCATTTATTTTATTTATTTATTACCGTAATAGGCTCGAGAACGACAAAGACTGCTGTTAGCAGCTTAACGATTTTTGTTTGTTCGGCGGATACTCTGGTTTGCAAAAGTGGAAAAGTCTGGCCACTGTGTATAAAAAGGCCAGCTCACTTGCTATTTGAGACTTTTTGACTTCCGGACGCTCCCTGTAGAGACCTATCCAGCTGTTGTGGCACTGCACATTGGGCTAGCCAGCATGGGTATGGGCGACTGCAGGGGAAGGCCGGTTGTCTGATATCCCTGGCTGGTTTCACGGTACGTTTTATTTGGTTAGGCGGTGTTAGATTTGATTTCCATTGTATTTTCTCGCTAGGAAATAGTTTGATGGCAGGTCGCTATAAGTGATTTCGTGGCATATTGAAGCTTAACGTACATGTTAAATATGTTTCAGTTTTTGGCATTGTTGAGGTATCTCGCTGAGCGTATGATGTCATGATCATATTTCCTTGTTCGCTGGAGATGACTAGCACTTTAGATTCTGATCGAGCACGTTAGTTGTTGTTAATGTATTATTTGTGATGTATATGTTAATTCTGTGTTCAATTTAGTAAAATAAACAGCTGTTTAATGTAGTGATTATAATTGATTTGCTTGATGTAATTTAGGATCTGTAGTCCGTTCTGTGGTTCGCCTAGGTGTATGTACCCATGTAGTTTGGTTGTCATCATGTAACCCACGATAGAGATTTTTTGTCTGGGTCTTAGTAAAATATTCTAGGATATCTGCGCAAAAGAACCCCTGTCTTTACTTTACTTTCCTTTCTTTGCTGTTTAGCGGGAAACTATTGTTTTTCTTCTAATCAGTTTTCCTTTATCTCCCCTACTTCTGTGTTTTTCCGTCTTTTTCTTACCGCTAGCATATTACCCATTTATCACCCGCAAGGAAATACCACACAAAAAATGTAAGAGCATGCATCTTCCATGTAGTAAATATGGATGTAAGTCGTGGACTATCTCCCCATCCTCAGAAAATCATGGACAAAGAAGAGAAGAAATGCTGATATTTTAAAAGATTTGAACATCAAGAAAGATTAGCTAACAAACAGCATATTGTCTCAAAAGCTGACAATATTTCAAGCAAATTAAGCGCCATGGCGGACAGGAAAAAATAATAGCAGAGGGCATGGTACCAGGAAGCAGGGACAGGGGCCGACCAACACGAAGATGGGCACAGGATATAAGTGACCCCTTGAATATGAAGGCGCACGAGACGGGATACCTGGCTAAAGACCCAGTTTCTTTAAGGCAGACCCTGATTAGCGCGAAGTTCGGCAAAGGATCTGCTACATGATGATTAATCTACTTAACGACATATGTCTGTTTTTGTGTTTGTGTGCGTGGGTATTCTTGCGTGTGTGGGTGGGTGTGTTCTTGTCTGTTTGTTTTTGTGAGCGTATGTGCCCTTGTGTGTGTGTGTGTGTGTGTGTGTGTGTGTGTGTGTGTGTGTGTGTGTGTGTTTCTGTGCGTTGTGAAAAAATTTACTTACTTTTTGGCCAGGTTTAGCAGGTCCTTGAAGTCGTCGATGAAGGTCCCTTTCGCGTCAAGGCCGATGACGTTACCGTTGCTGTCGTAATTAGGGCTAGTTTCTCCCTGGATGTGGATCCACAGTCCTGGAATGTGTGGAAGGCAAGTGACAGCCAATGTACAAGTTGTGTGGTCAATAATTACTTCTCCCTGTATGGGCTCTTCGGCCAGATTTGTGGGGAATACAAGAAAACACCCTCTCTCTCGACATTAAGCATGTCGCAGGAATCAACTTATGAGGGGCATCCTTTGAAGACGGAGCACATTTGACTGAGAGGCTAGGAACCAAGAGTTTGCATGCAAAAAAAGACAGATGTGTGAAGTGGATCTGCACGCAACACTTAGATTCTGGAACAAGACTAAAGTCCGAAGATAGACGCACACTCAGAACTTTTCGCTGAAGTTTACAACCGTTAAAGGGGAAGGAGGAGGAGGAGAAGATGAAGAAGAAGGAGGAGGAGTAGAAGAAGAAAGAGAAGAAGAAGAAGAAGAAGAAGAAGAAGAAGAAGAAGAAGAAGAAGAAGAAGAAGAAGAAGAAGAAGAAGAAGAAGAAGAAGAAGAAGAAGAAGAAGAAGAAGAAGAAGAAGAAGAAGAAGAAGAAGAAGAAGAAAGAAGAAGAAGAAGAAGAAGAAGAAGAAGAAGAAGAAGAAGAAGAAGAGAAGAAGAAGAAGAAGAAGAAGAAGAAGAAGAAGAAGAAGAAAAAGAAGAAGAAGAAGAAGAAGAAGAAGAAGAAGAAGAAGAAGAAGAAGAAGAAGAAGAAGAAGAAGAAGAAGAAGAAGAAGAAGAAGAAGAAGAAGAAGAAGAAGAAGAAGAAGTCAACAAAAATGAGAAAGAAGTAGAAATAAAAAAGAAGAAGAAGAAGAAGAAGGAGAAGAAGAAGAAGAAGAAGAAGAAGAAGAAGAAGAAGAAGAAGAAGAAGAAGAAGAAGAAGAAGAAGAAGAAGAAGAAGAAGAAGAAGAAGAAGAAGAAGAAGAAGAAGAAGAAGAAGAAGAGGAAGAAGAAGAAGAAGAAGAAGAAGAAGAAGAAGAAGAAGAAGAAGAAGAAGAAGAAGAAGAAGAAGAAGAAGAAGAAGAAGAAGAAGAAGCAGAAGAAGCAGAAGAAGAAGAAGAAGAAGAAGAAGAAGAAGAAGAAGAAGAAGAAGAAGTCAACAAAAATGAGAAAGAAGTAGAAAATAAAAAAAGAAGAAGAAGAGAAGGAGAGAAGAAAAAGAAGAAGAAGAAGAAGGAAGAAGAAGAAGAAGAAGAAGAAGAAGAAGAAAGAAGAAGAAGAAAGAAGAAGAAGAAGAAGAAGAAGAAGAAGAAGAAGACAAGAAGAAGAAGAAGAAGAAGAAGAAGAAGAAGAAGAAGAAGAAGAAGAAGAAGAAGAAGATGAATGAAGAAGAAGATGAATGAAGAAGAAGAAGAAGAAGAAGAAGAAGAAGAAGAAGAAGAAAGAAGAAGAAGAAGAAGAAGAAGAAGAAGAAGAAGAAGAAGAAGAAGAAGAAGAAGAAGAAGAAGAAGAAGAGAAGAAGAAGAAGAAGAAGAAGAAGAAGAAGAAGAAGAAGAAGAAGAAGATGAAGAAGAAGAAGAAGAAGAAGAAGAAGAAGAAGAAGAAGAAGAAGAAGAAGAAGAAGAAGAAGAAGAAGAAGAAGAAGAAGAGAAGAAGAAGAAGAAGAAGAAGAAGAAGAAGAAGAAGAAGAAGAAGAAGAAGAAGAAGAAGAAGAAGAAGAAAATGAAAATAACAACACAATAACGAAAACATTCACATAATGCAGAATGCATCTGTGTATTCTTTAACTTTAATGAAAAACGTGTCTTTGAGTCTGATGATTTATGGCCAAATGGCTAGTGCTGTCGTCACAGACTGTGCAGGTTAGGATTTTAGTTTAGCCCCCGAAAGTTAAAAATCACAGAAACAGAAAACATGACCTAAGACAAACTTACTCAAAGAGTTACCACCGGCCTCACTAAGCAGCTTAAACTGCTCTTCCGCGCGAGCTTTGACTCCAGCCCATTGTCCGTTACCAAAATCATAGGCGTAGTTGATCCAGGGTAGGTTTCCCCCAGACAGAAACACCCGCTGTCCGTTATAAGTGAAGTGATCCCCAGAAACCTGCAGCCTGGCACACGCCCCTGGGTAAGTTGAAAAAAAAAAAATAAACATATGAATAAACTACAGGTAAAAAGCTATAAATGCAACAGTACAGACACTTAATACGATCTAACAGCCTCTAAAAAACAATACTACAGGGCTGAGTAGAGGGGAAGTGGAGAAGATGAAGACCATGAAAAACCTGACTACAGAGCCTAACTGACTGTAATAGGCATGTAAGCATAAAGCTCCGTGTTGTTTATCTGTGCGTGCTGTTACTTATACTTTAGCTTACATTTGAATCTACTCATGGCAAAAAGTCATACTACGTAATGTAGATAGACATAATCCAACCCCCTGCTTTTTAATGTTTAGACCCATCGCCCTTAATCAGTAAACACACACGGACTCCTCTTATTTTCGACTGTCTGCCATACCTCATTTCTTGTTGTTGTGTTGTTGTTGTTGGTCCTAATAGTCATAGTTTAAAAAATAAAAATAAAAATTAAGGTAAATCTTATTAGAGGTGTAAAAAAAAAGAAATAATATCACAGACCATCAGTTGAAAAAAAAAAAGCCTACTTTAAACAGAAGATTGCACATGACGTTAGCTATAGATTCCCAAACTAGGCACCCCGGTGAGCTGCGGCCTCTTCACAGGGGCGCCGCGAAGTATTCGAAGATTTATGAGTTTAATTTTTTTTTTTTCCTTATTTTATAATTCCTTATATAGTCTTACTTTTACTTAGGTAGGGCGTCATGGACAGATTTTAATTGAAAAAAAAAAGGCGCCGCGACTAAGAAAAGTATTGGAAACACTGGCTTACAGCATTGTTCACGTAATGTCAGAGTTAAGAATAAACACGGAAGTGACGTACCTGGACTGACAATTCCCGCCAGCAGGAGGAGGAGGGTAGTACGCTGAAACTGGATAAATAATTCAGTCAATATAAATATATATGTCATGTTATAAGTTTGCCAGTGGATGCGAAGGTCCTGGGTTCGATGCTTAACGGAGGCAGACGTTTATCAAAAATGGTCAGGGCTTCCAGGTCAATTCAGCCATCAAATCGGTTACTAGATACAATCACGCGGCAGGCGTGATGTTGACCACAACACTCACCATTGGTTTATAAAATACACATCTTACCCTATATGCCCACTAAGCCCGAAGACAGGGGAAAGGGGTCATTTACTTGACATCTAATGGGTGTCTACATCTGACCGTACTAAAACACCGGCTGAGTGTGATGCGGGGGAGTCGCCGTGGCCGAGCGGCCAGACGCTCGCCGAGGATCAGAAGGTCGTGGGTTCACTCCCTGGCAGAGCTGGACTGTTTTCGATAATGACATTGGCTCCCAGGTCGACCCAGCCTTGAGTGGGTACCGGGTGTAGTCCCGGAAAAGTAACGGCGGCCTGTGTGATGCTGACCATCAACCATCTTGTGCCGATTGGTCTATAAAAATATAGGTCTAGCCCTATATGCCCTATACGCCTAAAGGCGTGGGAAAGGGTCCCTTTTTAGTGTGTTGCAGAATCGGATGTAGATTTGATGAAGTCCTCATGCCATATAAATTCCTAAGGTTTTAACCGGTCTCCGTCCCCAACGAAGTTTTCGTTATTATTAAGCCCCACCCTGACCGTAGCCGGGGCCTGATATAACCTGATGGTTGAACGGGGTTTCTGAGAACTCTCCAGGGGTGATCCTCATCCGAATAGTGGCACTTTGTGTATCTTCAAAGGACGTTGCAGAACCAACCCTAGCATGTTTTGTCTGTTGTGGTTTTTCTAGACTAATTTACGTCCAGTAGTTTGCAATCGCCTTATGGACGGTCGGCTTCTCGATACCACTTTCGAAACCAACGCAAGACCCGCAGATGGGATCGTACCAGGCATCCCTGAATAAAAATACAGATTTAGTTTCCAAATCAGATTCTTCTTCTTCTTTCGTTCGCCTAACGTTTTGCTGATTTAGACATATTTCCATGGCGTGTGTGCGTGGCATCCTGATTGCTGTGGTGCGCCTCTTGGCTGATTGCCTCCGACTTCAGCACCTTGTTTTGCAAGGGTAGACTGTGGTCATACTCGAGGAGAGTAGGCTCATCCATTCGTCTTTCGCCTTTACCTCGTTTGTTGTCCCATCCAGTTTCCCGCTGGGGGTTGAGACCCCAACCTTCAACTGGATTGCTGGGAAGAACAGGGTCCACCACGTGAAGGTGAGGTAGGCTTGAGCAAGAGAGGCTAATAGACATTAAGAGTCTTGTACAGCGCATCATTGCTCCATTAGGAACCCTCCAAATCAGATAATTTATATTATATAATCCTACAAGTTAGAATCAATAAAATGCTGCGATGATTTAGCCAAGATAACAATAATTGGAGAATTTACGTTAAAAGTGTGTAAATTTGTTGAAATAAAATTACATATGTAAAAAAAGAAATAGCAATTCTTTTAAGCCCTTGTAGATTGTGAGGCCATACCTAAGGTGTAACCTATTAAGCGTATGCACTAGTGTATTGTAATCTTGGGTTGGAATAAACCACTTGGTTGTATTGGTGGTCAACATTGTACTGGTGGTCAACATTGTACTAGGTAATCAACATTGTACTGGTGGTCAACATTGTACTAGTGATCAACATTGTACTGGTGGTCAACATTGTACTGGTGGTCAACATTGTACTGGTGGTCAACATTGTACTGGTGGTCAACAATATACTGGTGGTCAACATTGTGCTGGTGGTCAACATTATACTGGTGGTCAACAATATACTGGTGGTCAACAATATACTGGTGGTCAACATTGTACTGGTAATCCACATTGTCCCGGTGGTCAACATTGTATTGGTGGTCAACATTGTACTAGTAATCAACATTATACTGGTGGTCAACATTGTACTAGTGATCAACATTGTACTAGTGATCAACATTATACTGGTGGTCAACATTGTGCTGGTGGTCAACATTGTACTAGTGATCAACATTATACTGGTGGTCAACATTGTGCTGGTGGTCAACATTGTGCTGGTGGTCAACATTGTACTAGTAATCAACATTGTACTGGTGGTCAACATTGTACTAGTAATCAACATTGTACTAGTGATCAACATTATACTGGTGGTCAACATTGTACTGGTGGTCAACATTGTACTGGTGGTCAACATTGTACTAGGGATCAACATTGTACTAGTGATCAACATTATACTGGTGGTCAACATTGTGCTGGTGGTCAACATTGTACTAGCGATCAACATTGTACTAGTAATCAACATTATACTGGTGGTCAACATTGTACTAGTGATCAACATTGTACTGATGGTGAACATTGTACTAGTAATCAACATTGTACTGGTGGTCAACATTGTACTGGTGGTCAACAGTATACTGGTGGTCAACATTGTACTGGTAATCAACATTGTCCCGGTGGTCAACATTGTACTGGTGGTCAACATTGTATTGGTGGTCAATATATTACTAGTAATCAACATTGAACTGGTGGTCAACATTGTACTAGTAATCAACATTGTACCGGTGGTCAACATTGTACTGGTGGTCATCATTGTACTAGTAATCAACATTGTGCCGGTGGTCATCATTGTACTGGTAATCAACATTGTCCCGGTGGTCAACAAGAATGCGCCGCCCACTTACTTTCTTCTGTTTCTTCCCTGTACTGTCGGTATGTACCACATGTTTAGGGCGGTGCCGACAAGGGGGATGGTGAGCCTGAGGTTAAAGGGCTCGCATGTCATCGTCGCACCGTAACACTGCCTGTCGCTTGGTCACCAGTTGCTTTTGACTGTCTGACCAGCTCTCTCCATATTCGACCGTCAGATGCAATGGACTTTGTGGTGGCACGTTTAAGGGCTGGTCTAGTCAGTCAGGTCGACCCAGCCTAAAATGGGTACCAGGGTGGGCTGTCCTGGGAAAGTAAAGACAGCCGGCGTAAGGCCGTATGTAAACGTACAAATAAGTATTAGGGCTATGATCCTACCAGTAAGTAAGAATAAGTAAAGATCCGTTTTTACATCTTAGGGCGCATCGGGCATACATGAAGAGCACCCATATTTTTACAAACCAGTCAGCACAAGGTGGGTAATGTGGTCAGCATTACACCGGCTGTCCTGGAGATACACCCTGGTACCCATTTTAGGCTGGGTCCCATACCAGGTAAAAATCCAGGCAGTCAGCAGTGAATATCACCAGTGATCACTAACAAGTAACAAATTGACAGCTTAATACAATGGCATTTTTTTAAAGGGCGTTTTATTAATATCCTACCCTAGATGACGTCACAGGACATTCCAACATTTTAGAGGGTGGTAAGACTGGGTTTCCTAGCTTTCTGATGCTTTTAACTACCCCAAAACACATAGAACTAGCCCTAACCCCAACCAACCTACTTCCCAAGACAGAGTGCAGCCTAGGTCCTACGACCGCATGCAGCCTAGGTCCCGCAACAGCATGCAGCCTCTCTACCAGATCCTGAGATATTAGACTGTCTCGTGACCTGTGGATGTCCCCTGTTAGGGGTAAGATATTAATAAAGCACTAAAACAAAGTGCTATAAAAGTTTAAAAGGATCATTCTGTACATTATCATATGCGAAACAATATACATTACATATCTCCACTAACATGATATAATATACATTCAAGTATAACAAGAAGAAGAATAACAGTTAAATAGCCGAATGTGAAAGAAGGGCAAAAAAAAGATCCGGGAAACAAACGTTACCATGGCAACAACGAAGAGTGCTGTAAACAGGCTCAGTTCTTCTGATAGCTTCTGGAGATAAGAGTTTCGCTTTTATAGTCGCCAGTACAGCCGTTTTTACAGACTGCACACAATCATGTCTTGCTATCAGTTTTGATTGCTCTCTAGTTTTCCCTCCATCTGTTGGCCCAGAATGGCAGTCATCTGCACGCTTTTACTTTTTTTTTTTAAATTACATTTATTTATTAGACAACAGCCTTGAACACTACTAGCTGTGATAAGACAGGAAATCGCTGACTGCGTTTCCTATTCCCACCCCCCTCCCCG